CCCCGCCAGGCCACCGCTGTGCTTTGCAGGTCTGAACAACTCAGAGGGGGGCTTCCACCCTTTTCCACAAGGACACCGAGGTCAAGGGGTAATACAAGAGGGCATGCAACTCTGCGGGGCTGTCCGTGTGTGCAGCCGAGGCACTAGGGTGCACTGCACGCGTCGGGCCCGCCCCCCGGCGTCCGCATCCTCCGGGGCTTGTAGGTCGGCAGCCCTTGTCCACGGCAACGCCATCTTGGCGGTGGCGCCGAGGCCCAGAGGCCGGTGGGGAGGGCCAGGCCACGCGCCGGCTACCCCTGCCGCGACTCTGGCGCCGGGCCCGTGCGCTTCCCTCCAGAGGCCCGGGCCTACCTGAGTCCAGCCTGTCGCCAGTACGCCACCATGATGTCGCGAGAGGGGGTACGTCGGGTCGAATCGCGAAAACACGGTAGTAGCGGCTCAGCCGGGCGGCAGGAAGGTCAGGCCTGAGAAGCGGAAGGGGCTGGGCTAGCGGACCTGCCATTCACCGCACATAGCCCCGCCTCCGCAGCCACCGCGGAAGCCCCTCTGCCGCCTGGAACCAATGGGGGCGCGCGGCCCGGGCAGAGGGCGCCAATCCCCGGGCGGGCTGACCGGCTGCGCCTGCCCATTGGCTCCCGCGGCCGGTGGACAGCGAGACCGCGCAGAGCCCCGCCCGGGGCGCGAGGAACAGGTTGTGGTCGTGGATACTGCGCAAAGCCGGGCGCGACCCATTAGTTCGGTGACAGTGTGCTGGCCCTCAAGGAGTTGCTCTTCACCTTCAACCACGAAAAACACGTTATAATCAAGAAAAACACCACAGTCCAGAGAAAGTTTTTATTAATAAAAAGTTTTTAATTTCTTTCATTTTTTAATGAGATGCTCAAGAGTTCAAGAGTCATCAATACTTTATTTAATTCAGTCCTCTTCAATGAATTTGCTGGCTGTGATTATATTTTAACAAAATTAACAAATTATCAACTATTTAAAAAGATGAAACTAACTGTATTGGAAAATGAAAATAGGATTTTATCATTAGATCAGAATAAAAAAAATCAAACGAAGGATAAAAGATTTTAAAAATTTGTTTTCCATTAGGATATTACACCTTTTTTTTTCAGAAAAAGTATAACAGAAATTATACAAGTCACTTTTTGTGAAACATTAATATTTAGCAATGTTTTTTTTAGCTGAAATGTTATTTCAGTTGTAAAAACCATCTCTGGTTACAAAAAAACATAATCAGAAACCTTATCGGATTTAACTTGCTTTTACAAATATCCTAAGAATTCTTTAGCTAAACAGTATTTTCAATAGAAAAACATAATTTAAAAAAGTTTGGTATCTTTCTGTCGTTTTTATGTACACATATTAACTGGTCTCTTTATAGAAGGTGACCTCATTAAGCACTGTAAAATAAAGGCAAGAGCTCATCACCTTTTAACAAAAATATTTTGTAGGCAACAACTGCAAGTATCAAAGATATCATTTAGTGATTAAAACTGCTTGCTACAAAATATTAAACAAAATACATTTATTGGATTGTTTTTCACTTTTCAGCCACCCATGTGGCATCAAAAATAAGGACATCCCATTAATAAAACCTGCAGTGCAATTGGCTCAGTGGTTAGTTTGGGCCACTCTGTCCCCACCTTTCATTATTCTTTTTTCTCCCCAAACGCCCCCACACCCCCACAGTGGCACCATATTATTAAAAACATTAAGTACCTGGGATTCATGCCTCACATCAAGACATCATTTGAGTAATTTCAAATGATGTACAGCTCTTCATGTAAAAAAGATGTTTTGTGGTCACAATTACCTCAAAAAGTAATTATATTCAAATAACCTGACATATCATGCCTTAGCAATTACAAAACCATGATTTTGACACATGGCAATTTATAAGTTAGGCAAATGTGAAATGCTAAAAGATGTGAACAGCTGTTCTGTTTAAGTGTTCTGTTTAAGAGTGCGAAACTCAGGTAATGACTTTATTTTTTTAGTTAACATAACCAGCCCACGGTACAGCATGCTAAATCATAAAGTACAAGTCCAAGGAAGGTAATACCTTTACTAAGTTACAAAACTTTGGCAAATCAACACAGTACTCTATAATACAATAAAATATTATTAATGTTGGAGTCATATATTAGACTTAGTGATGATTTTTACTCCAAAAACATCATTTAAATACCAAATCAAAACAGTGTGGTTTTTAGCAGAGCAAGTTATTTTATACAATTTAATGTCTTTTAAAACTACACAAATTCTTATTTTAGAGTCAGTTCCCCCATGCAGGCTGCGCTAGTCTGTATTAGCAAGGTGAGTGTGTGTGTATGAGGAGAGGCTCTGCTTGCTTGGCTCTGGGGTTGGTCCAAAGTCAGGTACAGTTCCAATGCCTGAAAAGTGTTAAAATTCTATTTTAAGGAGACTCAATGTCAATACCCATTTCTCCGGAGAACTTTAAAAAAAAATTGTTAAATTTCACATAAATACCAGAACCCTAGAAATTAGTCATTTCAAGCCACAATAACCTCAGATGATCCCTTGGATTTTAAAAGTCCTGTATCTTTTTGTTTTGATCAAAAGTCACATAGCCTTACTCCAGATTATTAGAAAAAAAAATTCTACCTAAAATACAGTTGTACTTTTTAAATAACAAATAAATACACTGTCTGCTTGGAGAGACCTGGGGATTTGATATTCTATACTGACTTTATCATTTTTCTACAAATGCTGCCGCCGCCATTGGTGTCCTTATGCTTCCTCTTGCTGAAGCCGTCAACTCTTCAATCTCAGCATTTAATTTATGTATTACCCATTCCATTGCTTCTCGGCCCTTAAAAAAAATCCAATACATTTAGTGTTACTGAGTGATAGCAAAGGTATGTACAACAGGAAGTAACGAGGAGGGTTAAGAGCATAACTAAGCTCCAAAAGGACAGATTGTTTTTGTTCTTGCTTTCTTTTTTCAAATATTATTTACCAAATATCAAATGCCTTGAGCAACTGGCTTGACCCATAAACTGATTTTTATTTTGTATGCAAAAGATGTTCTCAAAAGAATCTACAATTAAATGACAGCATGTTTTATGCATTTCATAATTAGAGTGGTCAAACCTTTTTCATGTCTAAATTTTAGATTAAAGTCTTATACCAGACCCTGAAGGATCTGGTCTTTAACTCCGTCCTCACCCCTTCCTGCCTGGTGCTCTACAAAATTCCTTAAAGAATGGAAGGAGGAGCATGTCATGATTCCTTTGTCAGGACCTATGCACACACACTTCCTCCACCCCAATGCTCTTCCCCGCTTATCCCACAATCCACCTCCATTCAGCACTTGACAGAAACATCCATCACTACACACTCTCCTGCCTGTCCTTATTCTCCCTTTCCTAAATGTGTGTTGTGAGATTCACACTGCCTTCTGCTTAACGTAGCGAGGGCAGGGACCACATTTGCTTTGCTCCCTGCTGTTATCCCTAGTCCAGCCTAGTATTCCACCTGGCACAGAGAAAGTCTCTGAGTACCTCTGACTGCTGCATGACTATATTAAACATGTGTTAAAAAACAGTGCATTATCAACTCTTTCCCAAAATTTACTTTTTTTTTAAACAATGCACTCTCAATGAGAGCGATTCTTGATGGGGCAAAACTTGGTTCTTGAAGGTGATGGAAAAAACTGAACTCTTTTATATCTAAAACACATATAATATAATATGTATGTAGTGTTAACTATATCTCATGGATTAGAAGGAAAACATCAAGACTGATGAAGGGGATGATAATAAAGAACAGTTGTGGGACAGAAGTTAAACTGCACACAGCTACACATCATTAAGCATTTCTATGTGCTGGGCCTTAGGCCACACACGCTCCATATGTTATCTCATTTACCTCATGCCAACCCTGTAAGATGGGAAATCTCCACTTCCCAGATAGGAAACTGAGGCACAGAAAAGTTCACTTGATTGCTCAAGGTTGAAAGGTTGGATAGAACCTGCCATGTAAACCCAGGCACACTAGACTCCAGAAGCCTGACTGTCTGGCTTCTGACTGCAAAGTGGCTGAGAGTCAGCTTACAAGGACAAATAAATTCAGCTTAAGGTCTTCTAGAAATGAACCCAGGGACATCAAGCATTGAGTAGCAGTCTACTTACTTTACTGGCATTAGACGATATTGTGGTCGCCATCAGTCCTTCCAGGTAACTGCTAAGGCTGACTCCTTGCACAGAGATGATGGCTTCCTGAGTCAAAATAGTCCTGCCACAAAACACATGCAGTGTGAGATGACCCAACTTGCCCTCTTTAAAAAGATTTAGTAAATTAAAAAACAAAGAAAGAAAGAAACAAACAAACCCAAACTCCTTGTAAAGTATGTTGGTCAAAAATATTTTTACTTACTTTTCTGGGTCTTGAGGATGTGGTTTGTAGATAAGTCTCTCATCCACTGAAACCATATTTGTAAAGGAAATCTATAGAACAAGGGGATAAAAAGCAAATCATGGGGCTGGGGTTGTAGCTCAGTGGTAGAACGCTTGCCTAGCATGTGAGGGACACCAGTGCCTTGATTCTCAAAACCACATATAAATAAATAAGTAAAATAAAGGTTCATCAACAATTTAAAAAATACTTAATAAAAAAAAGTAAATCATTTTGGAAACAAAGATTAAAAATATTTCCAAAATCAAAACACAAACCAAAATCTTACTAGCTAAATATACAAAACAACAAAAAGCCAAACACAAATAAACTTTGATATTTTTCTATGAATACAACTTAAATTTCACTGTTTGCTGTCTGCTTTTTATTTTTTAAAATTAAGAAAAGTATAATAATAATATGCACATGATCCTGCATTCACTTTATTGAATGGTAACTCCTAAAAAGAGGTGGGACCATTAGAGCAACAAGGCTGCAAAGCTGAGCAGTGCTGACCTCAGCTCCAAGTACTGACTTTCTGCACACATCCATCTGGTATCAACTATACAACAAAAAATTAAGCCAAACAGTTCAAAATTAAAACAAAAGAGAGCCAAGACTTACATTAGTCGATTTAAGTTCCATTGTTTTCTCTACAGGATCAACTACAGAATGTTCTTGCACATATGTTTTGGTTCTTGCTGAACCAATAAGCTAAGAAAAACATTCGGAATTAGTAATCAGAGGAGAAGAATTTCTTACTGAGTGTATCAATATTTTATTTGATTGTATAAATGTGTTACAATAGCTTAACCCAAAATCTGTTTTGAAAAAACAGGAGGTAACAAAGGTCAGAAAGAAGAACTGTTGGAGGGCAACAATAACTCACACATTACAGATGAGACAAGACTGCTATACCCCAAAACCTTTCCTAAAGGCAGCCAGGAACCAGCCTAAGAGAGTGCATGCAATCTAAGGCATGCCACCAAAACCGCCAAGGTGCGCAAACAAAATACAGAAATTAGAAGATTTGGGGCAACACGGCATCTAGAAGAGGGAGAACCCCAGAACCTGTCAGTATCTCCTGAAGTGTTCCATGGGAAAGGTCCTAGAGCTTCATGCTCCAGATACAAAACAACCATCTTGCTGTGGAAGATCCCAGAAGCACCAGGGCTACTTCCTGCGCTTGACCCCCCAGGCCTGCTTCTGTGTCCCTGTCACCTAATGCTGTGGTTTGTATATAGGGGATGAGTATATTCCTGATGAAAAATGTATACTTAAGATTTCTGAGTAGACCTGCCTTCTGTGAAGACAGATCCTCTACAGAAAACCGGCTCCATTTGCCACATCAGTTTTCTCACACTGTGATAAAATGGCATTCTAGTTTCTTGCTGCTTAAAGTGCATCACTAAAGCTACTCTTTTGTAACTGACTAGAACTGTTTCCACTGTACAGGAAGGAGTACCAGGCTATGGCACAAATATGACAATGCTAAGTCCTAGAACATTCTCCTTAATGTGCACAACCTATTATCAACCACAGCAACTGTCACCTAACAGTCATGACTGGACCATTACATCTACATTTTATTGGTCTCAAGTTGCTGGTAAAAGCAGAAAGAACAGAATAAACTCCTTTTAGGTTATATAGCATCAGCTGGTTCCCTTCAGAAGGTTCTATCGGGCGCCTTCATGAAGACTGTAATAATATTTCCAATTCATTATACACTCATAACTCAAGTTTATTATAATACAATTTGAACTGATGCAAAAATGATATTCAGAATGTGCTCCCACAACCTATTTGAAATTATAATGTGTTTTAGGAAACTTCTGCACTGCAGGCACACTTCTCAGGGATCGGGCACACTTACAGACTTCACGATGGAAGGCAGTCCCCACTCTGTGCTAAGAAGTCTGTGGCTGTGCAGCTTTCCAGAGGGATCTATATGCCTGTCCAGCACATCAACTCCAACCACACTCGGGTTCATAGGGTTTGGGTATTTCTGCATTGCAGCTGTTGTAACAGTTTCCCATGGGTGGCTGCCAACACAAATCCAAAATCAAACGTTTAAAAATATGCATGATAATTAAACAATTTTTATAACTTATCAAATCACTCTTTATATTGGAAATCTAATTAGTTTACCTAGGGACAATTATTTTCTGAACACTGACTGAATGATGATTTGGGGAGCTTGATCTACATTTTTAATGTGAACAGAATTTGGTATTTTTCTAAAACACAGGCTATATAAATGTAATTGATGTCTATAAATATCAAATTATTTCTACAGAGAATTAAAGTGTAGTTTCTTATCTTTCCTATTTACAATTATCCACTTTCACATGTAAATTGTTTCTAGGAAGAACCACTAATTCATAAAAAATGTATTTAAAAATTATGTTCTGAAACAAGTAGCAAAACCAGCCCCTTCCCACCCTTTTGTGGTACTGAGGATTGAACCCAGGAGTGTCCTACCACTGAGCTCCATCCCCAGCCCTTATAATTTTTTATTTTGAAACAGGGTCTTGCAAGGTGGCCCAGGTTGGCTTTGAATTTGCAATCGTGCTGCCTAAGCCTCTTGAGGAGCTGGGGATTACAGGTGTGCACTACTAACATGCATGGCTAAAACTACTCATTAAACCATTTATTCTTTTGTTTGACCACAATCCCATGAAGTTTTAAGAGTAAAAGAACTTATAGGCACTGTAAATTCTTATAGGAATTACAGAAGATCCAAAACTTTATTGATTTAATTATGAAAAATTTTTCTACGTTAATATAAAACAATGTCCCCTCCAGTCAATAGCCATTATTTTCCTCAAAGAAGTGATTCTGATTTCTGTTTTGAAAAGGTCACCCAATACTATAAAATGTTCTTCTGGCCCCCAATATGCTATTTTCTAATAATCTCTCTTAACATAATAGGCAGTTCTTATCACCTAGGACCAAAGTAGTTAACAATACCATGTCATTTGAGAACGTGCAGAGTCTTTATTTTCTTGAAAAGGCACAGGTGCTTCAGTGACTCAAAATGTGATATATATTAGCTCTTTACAAACTTCTGTGAATTAGCTACTCTAGATGTCCCTCTTACAAAAAGCCTGTGTCAACCACCATTAGTACTGAAGGTGGTCTGGACCACTTGCTTGACCAATGCCAATCCCAATCTATCTGTGCTTTTGTCTTAATTTGAAGGAAAAAGACAAGATCTGGAGATGATGTTTCAAGTCATACTTGACTGATATAAATCACCCAGCATTATTTCTTATTTTTCTAAAAGTAAAACAGGTAAAAAATTCATTTCAGTCTCAAGACTGAAAACTACATCTTGTTAACAGACAGGAAACCTCAACTCCATTGATTTCTCAGAACCCTGGACAATCAGTGACATGCTTTTTAATGTTTTCATTTTCTCTATAATATTGCATAAATTAAGCTCATTCTGTTTTTAATCTCAAGCCTTATTCAGTAATCAATGCAGATATGTAAGTGGAACAGCTTCATAAATCTAAACAGGCCCCAGAAATGGAAGTGATATAGGCCAAGCACTCTGATTATCACCAAGGCAACTATCTAAAATGAAAATCAGATGAACACTTTCCCTGTCCATCTAGTCATATACCATGGTGAGCTGGCTTCCATGTGCTTATCTCTTCCTCCCACCCTCTCTAAAAAATTAATAACTCCATGGCTTCAGGGTGGTAATGCATTATTTGTAATTTTGCCCATCTCTGTGCCCTTAGCCAACTTGAACACATCGATGTTGACATAGCTCAAACTAAGATTGCTTTATGAAACAAAGTTACTCAAACTTTATAAAGGTTGCATATTACAATCTTCCAACAATTGTTTTTAACTGTATTAACATAATTATGTGAAAAAGATCTAATACCAAAAGACATTAAAATATAGCACCAAAATGGAGTCAAGGGAACCTAGTGGTGGCTTAGAGTTCTATTCCATTTCTTCACCTATAAAATAAGGTTCAATTTCTTCACCTATAAAATGAGGTGGGTGTGGTAGAGCATACCTGTAATCTTAGTGATTAGGAGACTAAGGAATACACAAGTTTGAGGCCAGCCCTAGCAATTTAGTGTGGTTCTAAGCAATTTAAAAAATAAGATAGAAAAAATATATGATATATGAAACAAAAAAAAAAATAGAAAAGGTTGGGAATGTGGATCACTGGTTAAGCACCCCTGGGTTCAATTCCCTATACCAAAATAAATAAATAAATAAATAAATAAATAAATAAATAAATAAAGTGGGGGACATTGTTAACTCCATTGGGACAACAGTATCTTGATCTATTTACAATGTAACCAGTCCAAAGAGCAGTGCCTAGCACATACTAGGCATTCTTCCATGTTGAAGTCATCAACTGAACATCAACCATAAGCTAGACCTCAAGAGGAAGTGCTGGAAAATCAAGGATGGGTAAGGCATAGAATGAGAACCTGGGTGTTGGTGTGACAGCAACATCCTGAAGTTGAGACACATGAAAATGGTAAGATTTGTGAGAGGAAATTTTGATTTGGACTTCAGGAATGTTGAGTCTGAAGAGGTGCTGGACAGTAGGCAGTGGCAGACACCTGAAAATAACAATGGGAAGTTCCTGAGAGGCTGGAGATCAAGGTACAGATCTGGTCGCCATGAACGTGTATCATGTGGCACCTTGACTGAGCAGCTCAGACTATTTGGAGAAGAGGCAGAGCAGAGCTGCTTGCTGCTCCTCCTCCTGGAACTTGGAGAGCATTTATTTGAGTATGCCTATCTTCTAGAAGGTAGGTCCCAGAACTTTCATCGAATTTTTAAGAGGTCTGCGACAAAAAGAGAAAGAGTACAATCTTACTGATGAAATGGAAGACAGGCAGGCCAACAACTGAATCTCACTCAACATTTACACGAATAGGGAAAAAGTGAGGAAGATGTTGAGAAAGAGGACAGGAGTGGAGACAGGAACTGGGACAAGGTGAGAAGTTTAGGGAGGACCAGGGAGAAGGGAGTTCTGAAAGCCAGACTCAGTACCAAGCACTTCCGAAGCATTCCAACTTGGGCAAGCACCCTGAGGCTGAGCGGACTAGAGGACATGGCCAGGTTTAAGAATACTATAAAGACTACAATATAAAGACTGTGGTCTGTCTTTCCTCCTCACACAAGTGGGTTTTAAACTTCAGGGAGAAAAGAAAGCTTCCGTCTGGTTCTAACATTCTGTTCTTTCTGCATAAACAGGCGCTCCGAGGGGCCCGATTCACTGTGTAAAAGTGTTGACTTCTTTTAAAATTGCCCTCAGAAACACTCACAGACTCGAATGCCTAAATCAGACAACACTACAAAGTTACAATAATGAAAACGGTGTGGCAATAGCAGCAAGATGGCCGGAGGAGAGCGGACAGCCTATAAATCACCACAATGTCCAAGGAAAGGTGGCATTTCACACCAGCGCGAGGGGCAGATCAGTCAACAGAGCCCTGGAATAATGCCCTGACCACTAATTTAGGAAAACAGCGCACGGCTGCTTATGCCGGTGGTTCTTCAGTGTGGGGCGTGCAGAGGTGACTGCAGGCCTCACCTGGCGCTATTGTAAGGCCTCTCCACTGCTGTAAGTTCAGGACAAACACAGCGGGTCTGAAGGCGCTTGGGGTCTGGCTATTGCCAGCCGGGCAGACCACAGAGGGGCCACATCTCCAACTTCCGCCTCAGAGCGCTAGGCCGTGCGCCCTGGGCCTGGCACGCCGGTGCCTGGTCACCCGACGGCACGTTGTGGCCAACTCGCCGGCGGCGCAGGCCCTTGAGCCCCCGACGG